ACCATTCTGTGATTCTATAACGTAGCCCATTAAAAGTTTCTTTCATCCAAGGCATTTTTCCTTTGCAGCCTGGAAGCCCCCCGCCTCCTGGGAGGTGGCATTTTGTATCACACACCCTACACCAAACAGCTTGGAGCTTAAGGGTGGATGAACACGCAGTTCCTAGTTGGGACAGCCTTTGAAAAACCCCTTTTCTCCACTAAAACCTTGAGGCTTTCCAAAGGCACTGCCTGCGTGGCCTGAAGAGTCTCCAAAGTGTATTAAATAGGTAGGATAGGTGTGTAGTAGTCGGATAATTGGGAAGTGCTTGTCGAGTGGTTTAGAGGAGTAGTAGGCGCTGTCACTTTTAAGTGACAGTTTTTTTACTATCAGACAGGTACGTGACAAATTTAAGTACTCTGTCAGGACAGCCAGCCAGCACCTCTTAAAAACAAGGCTGAGAAAACTCCAAGGCTGGGAATGCACCAGGCGACCGGGCCGGTGCTGTACAGACGGAGGGCTGCCCAGCCCTTGCTGGTTTAGGTCAAATGCTGTTTTTTAAAAGCAAAAGCGTGTCTGGAGCAGCTGCTGCAAACAGGGCGCGGCGTGGCTTCGCGCAGGATGCGGCACTGGAACTGGCAGTCCTGCGGGCTTCCAGGTTTTATGAGGCAGCAGGACTTTTTCTGCGTTTGTGCTCCTGGAAACAAGGCAAAAAAAAAGAAAAGTCTTTTTACAGCCCTGGGTCACGGGAAAAGCGCCAGGCAGCTGAAGGCCAGCGAATTGAGGCCAGCGACCCGTGCCAGGTTATTTTTACGCACGCAGAATTCCCAGGCCCCTTGTCCGAGGGGGGTCAGGGCTTGGGTTACCTTCGGTTTCCGGGTGCCACCACGTGGTGCGACAGCTCATTGCACCCTCGCAGGCAGCGGGGCGCAGGCAGCCTCTCCCACGCGTGTAGGGCAGCGTCCAACCACCCGTGCTTTGAGGTTGCAGGGGTGGCCGCCCAAAGCTGCGCTCGCTGGCTTCTTCCCGGACCTCACCGCCTTCATCTGCCGTCAGATACACGTGCGGTTGCTGGCTCTGCGCCCTGGGAAACTCCGAGACGCCCTTCCTAACTCCCTTTTGTGTTCTTCCAGGCTGGGACAGGGTGAAATGGCGGCCTCTTCCTCATCTTCTTCAGCCGGAGGAGTCAGCGGCAGCTCTGTAACAGGATCGGGGTTCAGCGTTTCGGACCTGGCATCTCCCCGAAAAGCCCTCTTCACTTACCCCAAAGGAGCTGGGGAGATGCTGGAAGGTGATTGCTCTTGCCCTTCTCTTTTCCTGGTCCTCCTGGTGCACAGGCAACCCGGAAAGGGAGTTGCCGAGCTCGGCACCCCTGCTGCCTTTTTGGACTTTAGCTTGGCAAAAGCTGGAGGGAGGAAGGAAGCACCAGGGTTTGGGTGGGTCCCGAGCAGGCCTGGCTTTCCCACCAGTTGTTCATGAGGAAGTCGTTTTTCTGGCAGTCATCTGTTTTTTAGCTCCATGACGATGCTTCAGACGAGGAAGCCATCTACCTGAAAGGGAACATGACAGTGTTAATTGCTCATTGTTAGCTGATCCTTTGATGTCTGGCAGGAATCACGGTAAAGATAGCTGAGGCAGGAGTATTTTTCTTGGCAAAAGGCATTCTGGGGTTGGATTTGACCGAGTTAGTACAGGAGGCAGCTTGTATCTCTGCTGGTCGGGAAACGTACGGCTTGCTTTTGTCCTCGGCCCAATTTAAAACCTCGCCACAGAGGTCTGCAAGGGGATTAATCAGGAGGATAACCCTCTCTTAATCCTTCCAGGCTGGGCACGTTCCCCTTTCGGGCTCCATCTAGTCAAGGTGTTCCTGCAGGGCTCTCTGGAGAGGGTCGGGGCCCTTGTGTTTGGGGGCTTGAGCCCCCGGGCTTCACCGGCGTTGCCTGAAGGAGACCTGGGCGCGTCGCAACGGCACGTCCCAGCCCCGGCTCTGGGGGAGGGAGGAAGGGCAGGTCCTCCGGATGACAGGGTTAAACCAAGGTCGGTCTGTCTGTCTGCTCCTCTTGAACTTCCCGTGTCACACTGCCGCCTGCAGCTCCCAGGTGACTGCATCCTGGTAGGGACGAGCGCGACTGCAGCAGCGTAGGGCAGCCGGGAACCGATCCCGATGTAACTTAAGGACTGTTTTTATTACACGTTAGAGCCCATATGCCGGTCTGTTGAGGTAATTACGACTAAAGGCTTGCTCACCGAACTTAACGAGCCCTCAAAACAAATTAAAATAATGAAGCGCTTCGTGCTGCCAAACAGCCGGGCAGCTGTTCCTCCCGACGGCTGCTCGGGCGGGATGTCCGAGCTGCGGGTCGGAGGAGAGGGGAGGGCATGTTGGGAAAGA